TCATAAAATGGTCTAGGAGCTATAACCTTGAAGGTTGTCTGAGCCAAACTCCCACCCATTATGATAGCTGTCTGCTTCATTCAGGAGCTCTTTCTTCTCTAATGTCTTCCCTAGCAGCACCAACCCTATCAATTCCAAGTGCAATGATTAAAGTAGAAGTTTAGGGATCAGACAGTTCAGAGTCCACATTCTGGCTCTGCCACACAATAGTTCTGACTTGCTGGGCAAGTGACTTAACATCTTAGAGTCCGAGTCTCATCTGGTAAATGGCTACATAGAAGCTTGAGGATTCAATGAAATACAGTGTACAGTATAACCAATACTAAGCAATTAGAGCTAAGTGGAAAGTAGCTCAGTAGGAACAGTAGGAACTAGAACCCATACCTTCCTGTCTGATTTATAGGCAACACTTTTTCCACAGCATCATACTATTGTTCTCACGATGTTTCATAAAACCACTGAAAAAGTATTATTGAGTATTTTGTGTGATACCTTGTAGATTGTAGATGCTGCTATTTATAACAATACATCACATATATATTTCATGCTCTAGAATTTACAATGTACTTTCACAAATGGGGAAAACAGCTCTGACAACATGCAGTCTATTGGTGACTAACAGAGGCAGGAAGGAGGAGCTGAAGCTTTGAAAGAGGTCTATTAACTATGCAAATGTGAAGTTCTCGGTACTTGTGAGGAGCATAATAAACATTAGAACCAATTAGAAGTAACAATGCATGATATATTCAGGTTTCAGAACTCTGCTGAGTTAGAAAGCCACAGGAATACAGCATAGGAGTTTTAGGGCAAGAATTTAACCTACCTGAAGTTTACCAACCCAGATGGTTCAGACAGCTTTATGTTTTGCTCTCAGAAAGGCAGCTATCTGCAGATGGGTGAATTTTCATGTACAAACTAGATTACAGCAATGATTTAGAATTACATAACGGTAGAAACCAAGATGTGTTCACAATTTGGAGACAAAGCATATGGAACTGAAACAAGCAAAGCAAATAAGTTCTCAGAAGTCAATGTTAACTGGATGTTTCAACGCAGACAAATGTGACATACTAAATGCAAAACTTATAATAATAGAAACTGTTATGTCAGCTTTCTCGCAACCTTTGGAAGTAGTTCTTCATGTGAGAATTTTTACATTTGGACAATGCTCAAAAGTTAATTTTTAGAAATGGAGAAAATTAGAGGTGTATTTTAACATGTTTCATTGTTTCTATAATGTTACAAGATGAAAGAATATGCCTTTTTTCTGTTAGAAAATGATCCTGTTGAAATTTAGCTCTCTCAGAAGATGGTGTGTGTGTGTGTGTGTGTGTGTGTGTGTGTGTGTGTGTGTGTGTGTAAAATGGGTCTGAACCTCAGACCTTCTCACTAAGCTACCTGGTGGATCCCTTTTCCATTGTTTTATTTTGAGACAGGGCCTCCACTAAGTTGCTAAATTGCCCAGGTTAGTTTGAACTTGCAATCTTTGTGCCTCAATTTCCCAGAGGGCTGGGATTACAGTTGTAATGACATCATGCCTAGCTAGATAAATAATTTCTAAATTTTAGACTCCACCTAATCAAATGTCCTAGCTTGATAAATGGGAAGGGAAAAATTAGAATTTCATGCAGTTATCAAATATTTTAAGCTAACAAAATACATTTGTAACACTTTATGACTTCTTAATATTGACAGGAAAAATTCCAGATAGGCCTTTCCCTTTCCATTCTCCACATAAATCTATACCTTTTGGGGTTGTTGTTACTCAGCAGCAGACCCTAAGGATGAGGTTGACACAGTTAGGGTCGGAGACAGAAAGACTGACTGGACAAGAGGATGTGGAGAAAAGAAAAGCCTTGGTGTGCCATGTGGAAGAGGAGGTCTATGCTGGACAGAGCCCAAGACAGCTCAGTTTGTGTCTCACAGTCCAAATTTGGCTGATGTATTTTTGAAGCTTCTAAAGGTTAACTCACATGCTGTAATATATTATGGAAAGACATGAAGCTGAATTTTACTGTGCCAGTCAAGAGGCTGGCTTGAATCTCCTATTTAGAACTGAGAGAGACAGTACAATTTACATGTGTGAGAATGTGAGAATAATTTTACCTTCTGTTGTTTTTAAAACCACCTTGGGCCATGATTTTTAAGTGGAGACACAAGAAGATCTGCTGGGGTTCCCATAGCAACATTAACATCTCAACTGCCCTTGTATGTAATACTTTCATGACTGGTTGGCTTTTAAATGCAGACTTTAATTACGAAATAAAACTAAGTTAAGAGTTTCAGGCAAATTTGGGCTTTTACATTTACTGATGTATGCATATTTAAATAGAAACCTTGATACTTGTCTTTCTAAGGACGTGATACCAAGGCAAGTTTATGCAAAACTTTTCTGTAGTCTTCCTTGCCACTGATCTCTCATCTTACTCAGTTCTATTCTGCAGACAACTCTTCATCAAATCCTCTAAACAGATTCAGAAATAGTGTGGTAAGGATGAAACAGAAACCAAACAACCACCGATGGCTCCAGTTAGAACTAGAAGTCAACATACCTACTACTGATTGTATGCTGTTTATAAGCTGAAACTCCCTGTCCACGTCTTCTCTGCTGTTCTTCATCATTAACATCCCACACCAAACAGGCCTCATCTTCTCACAATATTCCAAGAAAAGAAAATCAAGGGCGAGCCTGCAGCCCCCCGCTTCCAGAAGCCCAATTCTCCCCTATTCCTTTTCACAGCTGCTCTCTCTTTAGAACCATGAATACTGTTATTACTATGATAGATGTTTTGGTAGTGAAAAAGCAGCATCCTTCTTCCTTTTTGGGAAGTGTGTTGATTTTCCTCTGAGGAACTTTCTCCAACCCCATCCTTTCTGGCTGCACCATCAAGTTCCTCTCACTCAGCCTGTTAAGTGATGGCCATAATCTAAGTTGAACTGATTAAATCCTTCAGGAATCTGAGTTTCAAGTGATTCAAGAAGGAGAAACAGTTTAAACTGAATTATGCCAATTGTGGTCCTCTCAAGAAAGTACCCATTTCTTCCAAAATTCTATGACTCACATTAATATTCACTAGCTGGCAAGCTCTTCATTTGAGTATTTATTCATATGTTATTTTATGCCATGATTTTTTGCTTTGCCAGCTCAATTCTAGTTACACTCACTGAAGACAGGACTAGGTCTTCATTGATTGTTTTATTCCATATACTTCAGCACAATGTGAGTACTCATGAAATTTTTAATAATGAAAGACCAATTTTAGAAACTCCATTTTTTTTTAACGAACTGCAATTTGCAAGCCAACATATGTCCTTATTGACGCAACAGAGTAAGCCAATTTCTAATTGCTACAGGAATTTTCTTGAGCATGACAGTTGTCTTAAAGAGAGTTTACAACAACTTAAACATCTTAAACATAAGAATAGCCTGAAAGTAATGCTAGCATGGGCCATACATTCTCAATTTTAAGAACAAAGAAACTAAAAGTGTACTTCAGACATTAGTCTCTGAATTAAAAAAAACAAAAAGTTTTTGGGAAAACAGACAAAAACAATACATTTCTATCGTGAGCTTGTAACTTTCTCTAAAAACAAGGCCTACTACCTCTCTGCTGTTAAATGACAATGGGGGAGTTTGTTCGTGAAATGCTTTAAATAAAGAAGATGATAAATGTGTATATAAATAAAGATGATTTTTTTCTACTTCTAAAATGTGGGAGGTTATGGTTTGTCTAAAGTATGACGTATATCAGAAATTTAATTGAATGCTTATAAAATTCAAAGAGCAAAATGATTAGATGTACATATCAAATTTTAAAGATATAATAAAATAATACATTTCTGCAGAACAACTTATATGTGCTTAAAATGCACAGAATGTACTTGTGATAGAACACCAAGAAACACAGATTTTCTTCTCATTATCTTCTTCTTTTTTTTTTTTTTTTTTTGTCTTTTTCATTTTTATCGGTACTGGGGATCAAATACTAATTATCTTCTGAGAAACAAAAGATCTTCTAGAATCTTTAAGTGGCAGAGTCCTCTGGTTTTATGTCTTAGTATGGTACATATTTCAGTCATGTGAAAAATATCAATTAGGAACTATTTTAAGTTCAGTGCAATGGTTTCTGGAATTTTCCTTGAACCCACACTCGATGCATAGTCACTTGTTTTTTCCTATTAACTTGTAAGCGACGATCAACCAGATTTTGTTTTTCAACTAATCCAGCCTTGCGGAATATGCGGTGGACTTCCCCTTTGAGACAAAAACAGCAGTCAAAGACAGGACAAGGGGTAGGGTATGGGGAAGGTAAGGAGCAATGGAATACTGATAGAATGATTAAACATGAAAATTTCATTTATCCCAAGAAACAAGGCCTAATACAACTGGGTGAAGGAAACTTGTGAAACTAAATAGGTTTCTTTACTGACACAAAAGTATCCTAACTGACTGGCGATAAGTAATTTTCCGTAAATTTAGAAAGCTTCCCTCATTTGACTACATTGTATTATAAATTATTTTCATATCCAGGCTAACAACATCACCAAAATTGTATGCTATACCTTCACTTGAGTACCAGAGTGAGACAAGTGACTCTTTAAAGCAGTTTTAACTAGAAAAAGATTAAAAGGTAAGAAGATCATTTTCAAATTTTTATGCAAATTATATGCATCAAAGTATGAAGACACTGGATGCTTAATCAACTGCTGAAGTCTCATTTTTATAGCTTTTGAATTATGCCTTGCAAATAATAACCAAAGAGAGTTTTCATAGCTAATTATTTCATCTTGTAGATTAGCATACCTTTTGTAAAGAAATATGCTCGGGTACCATCTCCTCGAACATAAAAATTTTCAGATAAACAACGCCCTAAAAAACATGTGAAAAAATCTTGGTATTCCTTAATAAAACAATAAAAATCCAAGCAACTTGATATGAAACATAAACAAAGCATTCTTTAAAAGACATGAAAATAACCCCAAAGTGAATATACTATTACCTTTTTTAAAACGAAGCTGAGTGAAATCGTATCTTCCATGGTCCCGAAAAAGCAGCATTCCCCCGGGCTTCAGTAACTTAGACAGTCGGTTGACAGCACCTTGCATCCTTTGAAAACAAAGTAAGATACTTTCTTTGTGGAAATCTTGTGTGATATGCCAGACTGAACCTTACTGAGATAAAGTAAAAAAGGCTCAATAAAGCCAAAGAAATCTAAACCATAAATGTAAAGGCAACAAAAACAAATATGTTGTAAAGAAGGAAAACAAGATGCCAACTTGCTTAATCATCACATTCAGAAAGCTTACAGTTTTAAGAAATCACCCAAATGACCAGACTGGGTACTTTACAGAACTTGATGTATGGCATCAAAAGCTGAACTACAAAAAAAAGATGTTTGCTGATATTTATAGCAAAGCATAATGGTCCTGCGGGAGACATAAAATAAATGAAGGTGCTTTGTTTTCCTTGCAAAACAAAAAGTGTATCAGAATCATCCCAAATGATACACTTGAAACTGGAATCATCATCCTCCAAATTAGCTCATTCTCTCTCTTATTTGTTTAGTTCCAAGACACTATCATTCACCTCAGGAAGAAGAGACTATTATTTTTCTTCCTCTGTTCACTCCAAGTGGTCATCAAATTCTGTGTCCTCTCTCTTCTTTCCTTTTACACCATCTTTGATATTGTCTTTCTCTTTTGTTTCCTACTGGTACTCCCTCAGTACAAATCCCTAACTGTCTGAGTCTAGAAACAGAATTGCTTTCCAACATGCTTTATTATTCTCCCATCAGTTCTTCTGGCATATTACCAATGAGTTATTCTACCTAAAATGATGGTTTTGTCAAAACACCTCCTTACTCAAAAACTTGCATGACTTCAGCCCATGGAGCAAAACTTTATTTCTCAGTAGATCTCCTAGAATTACACCTGACCCCACTAAATCCTTCCAGTATCCTTTTCTCTAACTTCCTAATCTAAAGTACCTGTTTAAACCCAACTGTTAAGAGCTTGGTTCTGGGCAGCTTATACCTCTGTTCACAGGTTTCCTCTCAAAGAAATCTTTCCCCTTTATTTTCTTCCTATTTTAACTAACTTCCTTGCCAATTATTTGAACCTAGATTTTCCAAGATGCCAATCTACAGCTTCTATTCTTTTCTAGAACTTTTCTGGGGAGTAAACCACCACTATGATCTTAAATGATCCTGCAGACACTGTTGTGCCTTTTTACTGTTACTTGCCTTCTATTCACTCATCTTTATTTAATTTGTTTATTTATTTACAGATTCTTTCTTATTATGTTGCTCAAGCTGTTCCCAAATCCCTGGGCTCCAGTGATTCTCTTGCCTCAGTCTCCTGAGTAGTTGGAACTACAAGTGCATGCCACCATACTCATATTATTCACCTTATTTTAAAATCATTTCCATGTAAGTAAGAAAGTAGTATCAACATGACACATCTGAATTTATTTCATAGTAAGCAGAAAAAAATAACTACTATAAAGGTAATCTTCCTAAGTCATCTATTTCCTCTTTAACATTCAAGTTAAATCATGAGAAAATACATTATCTAAATTAATTTCAAATAACCTTTTTGCAGTCTTATTTAGAATTTGTATGTTTCCTGATATAGGTGCTAAATATGAAATCTTGTTATCTACCTATACCATCCTTTTAACTATTCATATAAGGAAACAAAATACAATGATGATGTCTTTCTACTAGTACCTGAACACTGTCAATGGATGACTAGATTAGCAGAAAAGAAATTGAGAGAAAAACTTCACGCTTCATGGTACCTGATAGCTACAAATACAACCTTGTTTTGGATTTATCTGGAAATCTAACTTGTTCTTCACAGCAAAGTGCTTATCTCTGGAAGGGATGTAAAAAGAGCACTAGTGACTTCATAATTGCAAAGAAACACATGGAAACTTAGTTTCTGTGGGAAACAGTCACATTCAAACACACACACACACACACACACACACACACACACACGTATATGCGTATATATGATGGTACTAGGCCCATCTTAGATCATTAAGGTATAAGGATAACATGTTAAATTGCTATAATCCATAATTCCTAACTGAGCTTCTCTAAAACAAAAATTTAAAAACCCATCAACAGATTTGTGTGAAGTTGAACAGCTACATACATAGTCCACCTTCATGAACATTCAGGAAAATGCTAAATCAAAGATGTTTGTTTCTGATCACCAAGAACAATTTCCCTCTTGGGAGTCTATTAGCCTGCTCTGAATTTGTAATTTCCTTGAAGCACTGTTACTTTTAATAGGTATGTGTCTTGCCAGAATATGTTCGCTTCATTCTGACAGTGACAGAAAGCTCACTAATGAAGTAGTTTGACCAGTTTCTTTCTTAAAGTCTGAAGAAAAGAAAAACTGCATTTAAAAGGTTGCATACTATACATAATGTAGTTCACTAAATACTACATTCAACAATTGCCATTTTTGCTTTGATAGCTCTAAAAAATCACACTGAGAGGAGCTTCCCTCATTTACTTTGCCCCTTTGTCTTCATTTACCTGTCGGGATGAATAGAAGAGAGCACGAAGACAAGGAGAATGACATCCAGGCTACCATCTGGAAAAGGGTAGGGTGAACCATCATCACACACATCGTGAACAAAGGCAGAACACTGGGCGGCTCTGTAGGATGAGTGCGACTGTCATTATTAAGGAACACAGAACCAACAAAAAGGAGTTAGTAGAATTCCCAAATTTTTTAAATATAAAATATCAATTTTTTAACTTTTTCTCCCACCAGCCTTTCCTATGTAAATCTAAATGTACTTTATTTCCAGTTCATTATTCTGTAGTTTATTTCAGGCAGCCCTAAAACGTTAAGTCTAACAGACTTCTTTACAACCCTTGTACAGATTAAAAGGCAGAGCTGGGCAGCCGTAAGTCACTGGCAGTGCTGCTGCCCACTCTGCCACAGCCGCAGTCCTTAATTCTTTCACCGCTTTCTCCACATTACTTTTGCTTCAAAATACAAATATCTTACACTATGTAATCACAATTAGATCATGCAGATAATTATGCAACTATGCAAAAACGCTAAATGAGATTGTACGTGAACTGTTTCAATAAGGCTATAATCTTAAAAATTGCATTAAAGTAACAACATATACAATTTGTCTACACAAAAAAAATATCAGGATATATATCCACACATTACATTGATTCATCCTAAGAAGTACGATTACAAGTGTATTTTTCTACCCCTTTTTATTTGGAAAATGAATTATTATCAAAATTTTAAATGGTACTAATTTTTTAAAATTTTACTTAATTTATCTGTTTACCATATATTTTCCATTAATTTGTCTTTTCTTTCTATGGTAATGACCACTAACATTCAAGATTTGTGCAACAAGCCTGGATTATACACTGTTTTCCTTATTGTCTAAGGCATTTTTAAATTTGTATCAAATGTTTTATCAGTTTTTTGTTTTTTTGAATTCTGGGGCTTGAACCTCAGACTTTCACATTAACACACATCTTGAGTGTTTATTTTTTGAGACAAGGTCTAGCTAGGACACTAAGTTGCCTAGACTAGGCTCAAACTTGCAATTCTCCTGACTCAGCCCTCCAGAGTGCCAGAATTATGGTTTGGACACCACCATGCACAGCTTCCTAGATTTGGTTTGTTTCTTTGAGACAGGGTCTCACTATGCAGTCCAGGCTAGCCTTGCACTCACTATGTAGCCAAGGCTGGACTCAAACTTGAGGTGTTCCTCCTGCCTTCAGCCTCCTGACTGTCCCAGATTTTCTTTCTTTTTCTTTTATTATTTAAAAATTTTTTATTTTAAAGAGAAAAAACACAATTTTAAAACAAGATAATAGGAGGGTAACAATGGTAATACACTGCATATTTTTATCTTTACGTGAGTTATTCAGAGTACAAGATATAGATGTTTATTGTCCAAACAATATTAGCACAAACCATTCTTTCTCTTTTTTTTTGGAACTGGAAATCAAACGCAGGGATTCACATTTCCCAGGCAGGTACTGTGCTGCTGAGCTATACCTGCAGACCTTTTCTTTTCAATGAACTAAGAAAAATTAGTAGCATAACTGTCTAAACTATCTTGTATATGTATTTATGTGTGTATATATATATATATATATATATATATATATATATATATATACTTAGCTTCTCTTTCCTTTTGAACAGTTTCTTCCCATTTTAGAATATCTATTTTACATTTTGGATCTTATTAACTCTTTTGGCCTCTTATTTTTGGCTTCCAGGAATCAATTCTGTAGTATTGCTTCCCTTTCAATTTCATGAAAGAGTCAAGAAATAGTAGTGTTATATCTTCTCTAAATTTCTAGTAGAATATAGCATTGAATCTGTCAGGGTCTAGGCTTTTCTTTGTTGGAAAGATTTTAATTATATCATTGCTTTCATTGATTAATATTTAAGATTTTTATATCTTCATGATTCATGAATTTAATAATTCATGTATATCTAGGAATCTGTCCATTTCTTCTGTATTTTCCATCTTATTAGAAGACAATTTTTCAAAGAAAGTATAGATGATCTTCTGGATTCTACAAGGTCTGTTGTGATTTCACCCTTTTCATTCCTAATTGTATGGATTTGAGTCTCATCTTACTTCTTTTTGATAAGGTTGGATAAGGGCTTGTAAATTTTATTTATATCTTTTGAAGAACCAACTGTTTGATTCACTGATTCTTTGTATTGTTTTCTTAGTCTTCAATAAATTAATTTCTGGTCTTTTAAAAATAATTTCCTTCTTTATACAAGCTTTTGGCTCAGCCTGTTCTTCTTTTTCTAGAAGTTTGAGATTCACTGTTAAGTTATTTGTGCTTGCTTTGTTTTCCTAATATGAGTATTCACTGCTATAAATTTCCCTTTAGGGCTGCTTTCATGTGGAGATCCCTAATACAACTGTATTAGTGCTTATTTGATTTTTTGATGTCCATTCAATTTGTTTTTATACTTGAGTACACTGGTATTTGGTGCATATATATTTATAATTATTATCTCCTCTTCTTGGATTGTTCACCTTATAAGGATGTAGTAACCTTCCTTGTCTCTCTTCATCAGTCTTGGCTTGAAGTTCACTTTGTCTGCAAATAGAATAGGTACCTGATTTTATCTGGATTCCTGAAAGTCAAAAGGATCAAATATTATTTTCCATCCCTCAACTTTCTATGAATTTCTTTTTGAATTAAATATGCTTCTTGTATGCAGCATATTGTTGGATCTTGCTTCTTAATATATTCTGCTAGTCTGTGTCTTTTGATTGATGAATTGAGACCATTAACATTGATGGTTATAACTGACATGTATTGATTCGTTTGTGTCATGCTTTTTGTGGGGGTGGATACTGCAGATCAAACTCATGACCTTACACTTGCCAAGCAGGTGCTTGTGCTGGTGAGCTAAATTTCTAGTCCTGTGTTACGTTATTTTCCTGTTATTGGTTCCCCCTCCTTTTTCCCTTCCCTCTGTTTAACTGCCTGGTGGATTGCCTTGCCTGGTGGATTTGTTCTATTTGGGTTCATGGAGTTATAGTACTTGTAATCTCTTTCTAGAATGTTGTTCAAAACATCTTAGAGTGCTGAGTTTTTGGTCAAAATTTCTTCAGATGTCCTTTATCCTGGAAGTGTGTTATTTCTCCATTAGTTTTGAAGGTTGAAGGCTATTTTCCGTTAGAATCTGAAATATTTCATTCCAAGCTCTTCTTGACTTGAGGGTTTGTATTGAGAAGTCAGCTGTGATTCTGATGGGCTTTATTTATAGGGGATTTGTTTCTTTTCCCTAACAGCTTTTAACATTCTATTCTTGTGCTAAATTTCTAGCTCTTATGATATGCCTGGCTGTAGATATTTTCTGATTGTGGCTAGTTGGAGTTCGATAATGTCTCACTTATCTGATGTTCAGTTCTTTTTCCCTACCAGGGAAGTTTTCTGCCATGCCATTTGTAAAGTTTTTAAAATATCATTTATGCTATCTCCTGCTTTTTCATTGAATCCAACCAGTCGTAAGTTATCTTCTCTGCCTCTTCTAGCAACTGCTGGATTGATTTCTCATGGTCCCTTGCTATTTTTAAGAAATCTTTCTTTTTATGATGGCTAACCACAAGCCTATCTTCTATATCTGAGATCCGGTCCTCATAATGGCTTAATTTGCTGTGAATACTTTCAATGGAATTTTTATTCTCCTAGATATGTTTGAATCTATTTTATAGATGACATTTCTTTCTTATGCTGAGCATTCATGGCTTCCACAATTTTCTTAAATTCCTCTGGTTTTTTTTTCTTCTCTGTTATAGAGTCTATGGTTTTCATTATGGACACCATTTCTGCAGTTATCTGAGAAATTATTTCTGATTTCACTTTTTTTTTTTTTTTTTTTTTTTTGTTACCGGGGATCAAACTCATGACTGCATGCTTGCAAGGCAAGTGCTTATTAGCCGCTAAGCTAAATCCCCAGCCCTTTGATTTGACTTTTTCTATAGCCTCATTTCATTGCTTTGTTGCTATCACTTCAGAGAGACCAGGTGGGCAGTTTTTAGATTGTCCTATGTCATTGCCTTCTGGGTTTGTCTTTGGTGAAGTGGATGTCTGGGGTTGCATTTTGTTTAAGTGTCTTCTCATTTCCTTTTTTAGTTTAACTCCTGGAGTAACACCTATAAATTTCCTATGGTGGGTTGTTTTATTGCTAGTATTCAGAACTCTTAGGAAATGACTAGTCTCTGAGGTATCTTTCAGGTGTAACTGGTTTCTGGGTTTGAGTGTGTTGCAAGAGCCTACATCTTCAATTTGCAATGGATGAGAACTGCTTTCTGTTTGGTCTAGCCTCTGGTTCTTTGGCACTGTGCCACAGTATTTTCTATGACTGTAGTCAGTCTCAGTATTGGAATACTAGGAAGAATAGCTGTTTAGAACAACTATGCCACTTTAGGCTAAAGTGGTACCATCAGAAATAACAGTAGCATCAATGAGAGTCTAGAAAATGACAAACTGAGGTAACCATATGAACTAGATTTGTGGTTATATGAAAAAAATCTAAGAGGCCAGAAAATTATATGCAATCTATAAATCCTTAATATGTCAATATTACCCTCAGGGGTTAAAATTTAAAAGGGAACAGGGTTGGAGTCCGGAAGAACATGGCGGATAGATAGCAGCAGCCTCAGAGGCTCTCTGAGAAACCGCACTTGAAATCCAGGAATGGTGCTGGGCAGGAAGTCCTAGGCAAGGGGGGATATTCTTTGCCGACCCAGGAATGAACTAAATTAAGAGAAACCAACTGGAAACGTAATCCAGGTGATACAGCAGGAACAGATAAGGTCTCAGCACGGAAGCCGGACCCGGGCCACTGGAAACTGCGATTTGAATTTCCTGCAGCCACTGTTGCATCCCGGTCGGCACAGCGGGGAGAGAGGTGCAAAAGCTCGGAGAGTGGGAAGCGTTGAATGGAGTTGGGAGTGGGACTGGCCGGGTGCCCTGCATCAACATGCAGTGGGTAAGCGGATCGGGACCCTTCCATAGAGGAGGCTTCAGCAGAGGACATACTCGGACCGGGCAGATGAGATGCTATAGTGACTTCAGTCCTATATCCCCCCTCTTAAGCAGGATTGGTGGGGAGTGCCTGGCCTGCCAGATGCCGCTGGCTGAGACCCAGCAGGCTAGCCCAACCCAGGTTCCAGCGCCTGGAGGTGCACCCTACCGGTGAAGCCTTTGGTAGGTTGACCTGGAGGGGCAGGCCCAGCATAGACTGCTCAGGTCTGTGTCTCCCTGGTGTGCTGCGGTGGGCGGAAACACCTAGCCAGTGCAATTCAAACATACTGTGGCCGACAGGGAAGGAAGCTGGGCCTCCTGTATATGCTTATATATAAGGAACAAAGAATATGGGAAGAGGGAGCAACAAGAAAGGGTCCTCGGCCCCCAATCCTGAGAAACATTAAATAGCAGTCACGGCACCAATAGACATAAAGCGCTTTCTCCAGAGCCTCACAGACAAATTCAGGAATAAAGTTATTAATGACCTGAAGTAAGACATAAGCAGAATAGTTAGAGAAATGCTAAGCACTGCCCAAGAAAAAATAGATACAGAATGGAAGAACAGAAAAAAAGGGGAGAATTGTTTGATGGAGAAAATAGAGAAAGCATAGAATACGTGAAGCAGGTTCAAAGAGATTACCAGGAAACTAAAAACTCTATCAAAAACTGACATAACAGCTTAAAAGAAACTAAGGATAGATTATCTGAACTAGAGGGCAGATTTGTAATATGGGAACATGAAATGAAAAACTTCTTAAAAATAACAAAAAAAAAACAGCAACAATACAAAAGCTAGAAGATGATAAGAGGATCTATAACTTAAGAATTAAGAACATAAGAGAAGTGGGGACACAAACAAATGGACTACAAAAGCTATTCACAGAAATAATCCAAGAGAACTTCCCTAATTTATTTTTTTTGTGTGTTTGTACTTGCCTTCTTTAACACATCAGTTCTCCATTTTTTCCAGCCAGACTTGCCTTTTTAAAAAAATTTTATTTAAAAGGAAAAAGAGAAAAAACGAAATAAAACAAAACAAAGCGGTATAAGGGTACAAGTAATACAGAACTACAAAAAAAAAAAAAAAAAAAAAAACAGTAAGAAATCACCAGTTAATAGATTACACATTATCATCTTAGAGATAGTTGCTCAAGTGACAGTATCAAAGCATACAAAGTGGACATTCAAACAGTGAGACTGCAAACAATTGTGTTCAATGATCCAACCAAAAACATTAATATGATCATCTATTTAACACCCCTAAACACACTTGCAGATGTACCCTTTAGAGCACTTTTTTTCCCTCTTTTTTACAACAAAATTTACACATTTTGGGTTTTATTCCTCTTTAGTTCTTATTACTTTTTTTTTTTTTTTGGAAGAGAATAAAGTCAAATATGGCAAAACAAAGCTGTCAGTCAAAACCAAGGATAGATATAGGAAATGATGTAAAAACAGAGTACAAGGTTATCAACAATGGTTACCATAATGCCTCTTACTTCCTTAAAAAGAATTGTCTATCTCATTAGGTATTATAAAGTTGAACAAAACAGTAGAGAACAAGACCAATAAAACCTAAACATTGTAAACATTACAGGACTTCCAAAGGAGATAATAGTCAAACCAGAATGGGCATCATAGTAAATCTTATTGCCTTCAACGTAGTTGCCTATACCCTCAAACTTGATACTATCATACAGAACGGAACAGAGTCTAATCAGTCAAAACAAGATAGTGGGAGTATTACAGGACTTCAAATCAAGCTAGTAGGAAATCAAAAAAGTTACTATAATATATCCTGCTAATTTTTTTATTTTTCCCCTTAATTAAAAAAATCATAAAAAATAACTAAATAATTTTTTTAATGAATAAGGGAGAGATTGAGAATTTCCCTAATTTAGCAAATGGTAAAGATACTCAGATGTATGAGGCATACAGGACTCCAGCCACCTACAACCCAAACAGAGCTACACCCAGGCATATAATAATCAAAATTCCAGAAATACAATATAAGAACAGAATATTAAAAGCCGTCAGAGACAAGAAACAGATCACTTAAAAGGGAACACCCATCAGAATTAGAGGAGACTTCTTGGCACAAACCATCAAATCACGAAGAGTGTGGGGGGAAATAATTCAAGCTTTGAAAGATAATAACCTCCATCCAAGATTGATATATCCTGTACAACTGTCCCTAGAAACTGATGGAAAAACAAGGTGCTTCCAGGATAAAGAGGAACTAGGGGAATTTGCAACCACTAATTCAACTCTACAGAGAATACTGCAGAATAGTCTAAAAAAGGAAAATACCAAGATTCCAGAAATAGTGGCAGAGAGGCCACAATGAATGGAGCAGAAAACAAAATGAAGAAGACAAACTGACAACAAACGACAGAAAAAGAGCTCAACAGAAATGAGGCAGAGAAGACTGGAAGGTAGGAACAGCTATTTTAGAGAAAACAAGATATCATAATAGCTAGTGCTGATTTAGTATCATCTTGTTTTGAAGTCCCATCAAACTTGTATTGTTCTGTCTCCATAGGTCTTAAAAGGTTGTATCTTACTGGATTTTATTATATATGATAATATAAGCAAAAGCTTTTATAGACAAGGAGTTTATATAGAAACCACTGTTCATTTTCTGTTAATTGGTTCTAAATACCCTGTAATAATGTCATTCTCTTGAATGGTTTTATAGTGTCTTGATATGTTTGGTGCTACAGTATACAAAGTTATACTCAAAGATTTCAAGGAAAGAGACACTATGGTAACTATTTTTATGTCAGGATATCTTGTGGTGAAACACTATTTTGCTTAAATGGTTATGATTTGACCTGTGCTGTTCTGTTGTTATGCCCTCTTTTATCTCAATCCCCCCTTTTTAAAAATTATTTACTTTTTTCTATTTTTTTAATTAAGGGAAAAATAAAAAATAGCAGGATACATTATAGTAACCTACTTTGATTTCTTATTAACTTGATTTGAAATCTTGTATTGCCCTCACCATCTTGTTTTGACTGATTTTCCTCTATTCTGCCTTGCTTGATAGTACCAAGTTCAAAAGTATAGGCATAACTGTGAAGACAATAAGAATCATTATGACGCCCATTCCGGTTGACTATTATTTTCTTTTAAAATCCTGTAATGCCTCCAATGCTTTGGTTTTATTCTTTACTGTTTAGTTCAATTTTATGACAACTGCCAACTCTTCTTAAAATAGCAAGAGACAGTATGGTAACCATTGTTGATCACCTTATATTTTGTTTTTACATTATCTATTATGTCCATCCTTTTGATTTGACTCACTCTGTTCTGATATGTTGCATTTGGTTTTACTCTCTTCAAAAAAAGTAATAAGAACTGTGGGAGTAATAAAACTCAAAATGTGTAATTGTCATTGTACAAAAGAAAAGAAAAGAAAGTGCTCTAAAGGTTATAACTGCATATATGTTTGAGTGTATAAGATAGATAACCATATTATTGAGTGTTTTTGGATCATTGAACAAAACTGTTTGCACTCTCACTGTTTGAAAGTCCACTTTATATGCTTCAATTTTGTAACTTGAACAACTATTTCTAAGATGAGAATATGTAATCTATTAACTAGTGATTTCTTACTGTTTATTTTTTAAATTTTGTATTACTTGTTCCCTTTTTCTGTTTTTTTCCTTTTTCTCCTTAAAGAAAACAGGGAATAGGGTTAAAATACAGAGGTAGAAGAGGAAGAGATTAGAAGTAAGACTAGAAGACAAAAGGGGATCAGGCTAACTTGAAATCTGGTGCAGAAGGCTAGCAGGAAAAAGAGAAAGAAGAAATAAAAAGAACAGAACAATAACCACAAAGAGGCTAGAAATTACATTCGCACTCATCTAAAAACAAGATCAAACAATGGAGAAAAAACAAAAACAAACAAAAAAAAAACAAAACCACATCACAAACAACAAAAAACAAATGAGACAGAAACAGAGAAAAAAACCTTTATTTCCAGGATTGTCTCTGCTGTCAGTGGTAGACAATGTGTGGAGATAGAGTACTGATCAGTGTTGATTTAGCCAACCAAAAAGCTACTGCAAGCTAGCAAGTCAGCAAGTAGCTTTTTGGTGGGGAGTGGGTAATCTCAGTCAGCCTGTACCTTCTAGCCAAGACCAGACACATTTGGCCTGCAGCCATCTGTGTACCTTCTGTATGCCTGGGAGTTGTTAGATGGAGCCAACAGTCACTCTTGAGTTCTGCCAGCCTCTCTCCAAGACTGCTCCTGACCAATAGCTCTCTTGTGCAGGACAACTGAGCCTTCAGCACTTACTGGCAGCCAGGGTAGTCCTTCATGTCCACTACTTTCCTCCAAAGCTACGTCTCTCCATGGAGGCCTCTGGGGTTACCATGCATCTTCAGGTTTGAACCATTCCTCTTGCACAGTGAGTCCTGTCTCAGGAAGAAGGTGCCACCATCTATCTCCCTCTTTTCCTTTGAAGTTTCTCTCTTTACCCTTTCTGAGTCCAAGGGATTCACTTACCTCTTTCTTGTCTTCCTCATATTGCTATATTTTAGTGTCTGGAGAACAACACTCAGAGAGGATCTTTCTCTGCTGTTTACCAATTCATCATCTTCTATCCTCTACCCTAGATTTTCATATTTTAAATATTTTAATTTAATGAGTGCCTACTATGCTCAGACAATGTATAAGGCTTTAGAGATCCAAATATGAATAAGCTCTTCTTATAGGACTTAATTAAACATTCAATTTTAGGAGTGGGGAATTTTTTTTATCTTTCTGAATATTCTAATTTTAACTGATTTTCTCTATACTTAAACAAGTTGTTTGGAGCAAGGTTAGCCACGGGCAGGTGTAGAGTCTGAATTTTGTAGGTCATTGTATGTGGTGCTGGTCTTTCTAGGTCTACCAATCCCTTGATAACTTTAACACTCAAAACAACTTCTATTGTTTTAGTGCAATTTGTATCTTAGACTTCAATGGATGTTAATAACCTTAGAAATTGAAAAAGTTCAGTTAAAATGGTTACAGATAACATTTGATCCAGAAACATTTCAAATAATCACTATAAGAGCAAATAAATTACTTTCATATGGACTCTTTTTAAAGGAAATAAAAGGCATACCTTTATAAGCTCCACAGCTTCAGGGGCAAAATCACAACAATAGAGAAAGGATTCTGGAGTGCTCCTATAAAAACGGAAAAAAAGATTTCAATCTAGAGTTTAGTATTGTTCAAACTAAAGCAAAAGGGAACTGTAGATATAACTTCTTGTTGTTTCTTTAGCAGAATGTTGGACAACATTTGGCTCATCATTTCTTCTTTTTAAGCATTATTTTCTGAGCTGGTGCATGGGTACTTTTCTGATCCAGCATTGTTTTGATCACTTACTAATTATAGGTAACTCTAGCTCTAGTCGTAAGGTCCTCCTTTCCTTGGCCTTTTCTGCCTTGTGTCTCATCATACTCCCACAAGGGAAATCCTCCCTGCACTACTCCTGAACTACTTCCTCAGTTCCCTTTCTAAGATCTCTGCCTCCCTCCAGCACTCCTGCAGCTCTTCTTGGCTTAGCTAATCTCTTCTCTTCTCCAAGGATTCTCCAACTCCTGTGTTGCTTCATTCCTCTTTTTGTCTAACTCTTTTGGTTCTTAAGCCTTTCACAGAGGCTCTGATGCTCTAACAGGATAGACACATGCACACACATTTGTGAGGAATCATAATGTTGTCTAGGTTGAACTTGAACTCCTGAGCTCAAGGAATAACACTGTCTTAGCCTAATAGCTGGTACTACAGGTATGCACCATTGTACCCACATATACCTTTTATTAGAATACAAAGTAGTAATTAACATTATCTAATACAATAGTAAGAGTACATAATTTGAAACCTAATATATGTTTTTGAATTACAGATTTGATATTTATTAACTGTGAATCTGACAATGTCTCTAAGACTCAGTTGCTTTATTTACAATATGTAAATAAATTCAATTTTATCTTTCAGTAAAGTGTTTATCCATATAAAAATCTTAACTAATTTTAATTAGTTTCTTCCAAAATTAAACATGTTCTGTTTGGTCTTTACTTGGAATTCCATAACAATGCTGATCCCTAGTTAATCAGGCATATGCTTTGAGTTTTGCAGTCAGTATCTCTCCTGATTATCCTCTGTATGCTGCTATAAAGTAATCTTTTCCTCATGTTGTACAGAATCATGAGTCAGAATGTCATTATCCAGTAATTTAAGTATGTTCTAGCTCTTGTAGATTTTATAGACACCTTGAAAACATGCCTAACTTTATGTATCTTTTATAAGGGAACAGAGAAGGCCAGCACCGTAACAGGTAAGTCCTAAAAGTTTTGAAAGGGAGGATGGCATTGCCGAGTGAGAGAAGAAACATAAGAAATGAGCAGTGAGAGTCAGGAGTCATCAATGCAAGGCAGAAATGATTCTGAGAGTTCAAAGTGGTATGTGGCAAGACTACAGGCAGGCCTTGAATAACAACATCATAACTTCTAATTTGATTCAAAAGGCATTTCAGGCAAGGTGGACTTCTAAATAAATATCCAACATAAACACAAATATGATTTAACAAAAATTTCACTTAGGATCTTAAAGGTAACTCAATAAATATTATGTTCACATACAACTCATTCATTCTGTGGCCTGAGGGACTCGTGTTCAATTTAAGACCTATCTAAACCGAGTTAAAGTATGAATAGGAGGTGGTTATGATAAATTAACTATTACTGAGTCCGAGTTAAAATTTGGACTACTTGGTCTTTGTCATCAGTCTGATTAAAACCAGTACTTAATTCTAGCTCATGCCTCTGCTATTTCCCATGGAATCCATATAATTGTGACTTGTAATTTGGTAGGTGGCCACATGTGTTTTAAATGTTTTCTGTTACCACTCAGATGCATGGCACGGCTAAAGATAGGGTTCTGCCACCAGACTGCTAAAGATTTGATTACTGGCACTATGACTTAGTTGTGTGGCCAAGAGATTATTACTCTCTCTGTATTAGTTTCCTCATCTTTAAAATTCAGAATAAGGCACCTTTGGTTGTGAGGACCAAATGAATTCACAGAGTAGTTTCTAGAAAGTTACCTGACTCACAGAAAGCACTCAGTAAATATTAGTCTATTGTAGTTGTTATTATTCCTTTTAAGGAGACTTGTCTCTGCCGTAAGGCAATTTAAAAACTAACATGGTCCTCTAAAACTCTGTATGTAACTCAGAATGCTTTTCTGGACCCTGCTACATGTCATTATAAAAAGTCTGCAGTCTACCTTTGTGTAGTTACTCAATACTAACCACAGAGCAGTCTAGTAAGGAAAGCATGTGCCATATGCAATGTGTCTTGCCAGGGTGGCAGTACAACCTCTGAAACAGAGTTCCCACTACATCAGCAGCCCAAACTGAAGTCTTATGACCACCCAATGACTTTCCAGTGACTTTCTGTAAAAATCAGCTGACTGCCTTGGCCCTTTTCCCAGCAAACAGGTGTAAATTCCATTACTACCACCACACCACCAAACACTCTCTTGGCAGTGTGCTTAAGAATTAAATGATCCTTGGAAAATGATCTGACATCTCCATTTCAGAGGCCTACTAATGGTAAAATATTCTGAAAATGTAAAAATATTAATCCTGTACTCACAAGAAGCAATAAAACATAATTTCTTGGGTGGGAAAAAAGTATATTCCTCCATTTGGAAGGTTAACCACTAGTTGGTTTTTAAAGTGAATTAATTATCTCAGGTTATTAAGTTTCCCATAATTTCTAAAACACAGGTGTGAGGCAAAGAAAGACACAAACCAGGAAGAAAGTCAGAAGTGAGAAGCCTAAAGCTTATATTATTAGTTGGAGGGATAAGTATAGAAGGAAAAATATAACTATCAAGTGAGCAATCAGAGATTAAACAGCAAATACAGTTTGAGCTCTAACTATGTATGTTATACTGTTCAGCAACCTGGAAAATCAGATTAGAATAAAATGTGCTCCCGACCTCAATGATATAAGACATGGCTAGAGAGGCATGGAATAAAGAAATGTTAAACAATACCTTAAGATTATTCATAAAGTAACATATAACAATTGCCAATGTAGTGCATGCATATATACTAGAAATTCATTTATTACTGGAGTGAAGGAACCTGGCTATGTGGTACAAGGGGAAAGAAACTTTTAGCTTAAAAACTGGGAAAGGAAAAACAAAGATTAAAAAAACATAGAAAAAGAAAGGCCATTTAGAACTGTAAGTTTACTAGCATCATCTGGGCCTAGACACTTTAACTGGTTATTAGAAAATATTACCAAGTCATTGCTTTTTATGTTAGGTTTATGAAAGTGTTGGAGAATGCCCTGATATTCTAGAGATGCATCATCTATAATCAAAGATACAGTGTCATGATGCTGACATTATCAAAAGTTGTTGACTCAAGGTAGAGGGCTTATGGAAATTCATTGTATTATTCTCTGCTTTTTCAAATACTTTTACATTAAAAACTTAAAGGATCACATTATTACATTAAAAAATTTGCAAAGAGAATGAAAATTCCATCAGTGGCTACATTAAGAAAAAGGAGATAATGGGTGATTTTCCTACTACCCCTTTCCTCTAGTGGAAATGTGCTACAATGTGCTCATGTTGAATTTATAGTGGAAAAATGATGTGAAAACTATTGCATAAACTTTAAAAAAGAAAAGAACTAACAGATCAGCATAGGTAAAAGCTATTTGGAGAGTTTTATGGGGTGTGTCATTTTCATCATGGAAATTCTAAAACACGGAGTCGAGATGGTGAACAGGAAATACACATCAGGAAAACATCATTTACTTCTTTTGTTTTGAGTCTTAGGGTTAGTTGCTGCTACTTTCAAACAATTTCAAGCCTAGACACAATGATGTGACACTCGAAGGTCTGTTTTTTTTGAGACAGGATCTTCCTATGTATTTCAGACTGGTCTTGAACTCAGTTCCTAGCCTAAGCTGGCCTAGAACTTGTTTAAGTCTCCTGTTTAAGTCTCTCAAGTGCTGGGATTACAAACATGCACCACCTCACCTAGATGTGAAAGCCTTATACTGCGTGCTACTCCAGAAATGATGACAAAATAAAATGAGGACTAAGGTTTAAGTATTCAACTCAGTTTTCCATGTGTAAAATGGCATCTAATTATCCAAGAGGAACAAGCAGCCTCTGAAACTGGGTAATTCAGTGAACCGAGTTGAAATTTCATTTAAGGATGAATCTTTTGCTTTTTTTCTTATTGTCTCATCTGCTTAAACATAACCTTAAAAGAATCTTACTTGAATCTCAAGGTGGATAACCCATGGTTATGAAACACCATCTTCAGAGTAATTCTGAGTTTACATGAAATTAGCACTAAGACTGAGATGGTTCTTTGGAAATGCGCTTTAATTGCTGTTTAGATGGGAATTAAAAACATTACTGGCATATACATGACAATATATTTCCAAGATTTCTCAACATCCCTTAAATATGTAAAATTATGTAGGAAAAAACTCTAAAACTTACTGCAAGGTGTTCAGAACTGGAAAAACACTACTGCCAGCGCCACAGCCAACCTAAAATTAAGAGATTAAACAAATATCATGAATGCCTCTCATAATATCAGATTTTCTTTTTTAAAAAATAAGCTTACTGTATTTTTAGGTATGGTAGAGTTCTCTAACTCAGTGGTAATGAGTGAAATCACAAGAATAACACTGAAAGATTTGACTATAGAAACACCTAAAATCCGTAACCCCAAAACCCCAAATAAATCAAATTAAAACGTGACAACACACTGAGAAAAAATTTTGTGCTACATATGATAAAGGGCAGAAATTATTAAAAAAAAAAAAAAAACAAGCAAAGGAAGTAAAAGGTCAGAATTTCAAAAGAAGTACAAATGGCTCCTAAACATTAAAGAATGATGTGACATATATAGTAATAAAAGAAATGCAAATTAAAACAAGGTTCAATATTTGTCTAACAAAGTGAAAAACTCTAAAATAAAATAAGACTTTTCCAACCAATGATGGTATGATGAAACAGAAATAAACTCGTATTAGCACAACTTCCTAGAAAGCAATTGGCAATGTTTACGAGTATCAAAATTTTCCATAAATTATAAATCTAACCTGACAATAAAAGAAAACGGAGCTATATTCAAAGACATTTTTGTGGCAGAAAAGTTGGAAACAATTTAAATGACTAGTAGCATGGGAATTGATTATGAAATTATAGCAGTCCACATGGTAAAATATTTTACAGTCATTTATGGAGAATTTTTAAAGACAGGAAAAATTTCCTATGATATAACATTAAAAAGAAACAAATACAAGTACACCTAAAACATAAGCAAATACAATATCATCAAGAGAAAAAATGTTAACAGTAGGTAAAACCTTTGTGCACTGGTGCACTGTGGGTAATTTCTCTTTTTTTTGCAAATTCTCTGTGAGCAACATGTATTAGTTTTATAACCAGAAAGATAGAGTTTAATTGCAAAAATGGGAACTCAAGCTCTACACTAGATTATAGCAAAATAATTATATGTCTCACTTATTTCTGTTGTACCTAAAAAGTGGCAATACCAGACAAGTAAAAATTCAGACACAAACATTATCTGTATTCAAAAGTGTCCTCCAGGTAGAAAGGAAGAGATAAAGCAAAAAAAAAAAAAAAAAAAAGCAACAAAATGAAAGCCTTATGGCCTTAAAACTTTGTCTGATTAAAGACCTTAGGCCATTCAATATTATTTATGTATAAAAATATACTGTGCATGCACTTAATTAGATTTGATCACTTTCCCCCCCAAACAATTTGGGCCATTAGCAAAATAATGTGGAACGCAGATTTTAAATTTTTGTTATTTCCTGCTGTCATTCTTTGAGTACAGTACCTCTAGTATTCTGAAAGTTGCATTGCTACCAGGAAATAGTTCGGCCTTTAGGAGTCCTTTTCTGTGCTCTTTTGAGTTTAGGCTGAGACATTCAGACTCTCCTTTGCTTTGACCATCTGATAAACCAAAACTTTTCTCATAATGGTTTTGTTCTTCTGGCATTCTTGAGAAAGAGTTTGTAGCATTAGTTTCTACGGGATGCCATGATAGTTCTCCCATCTTCTCTTCAGTTTTTGGATCAATTGGAAGAATTTCAGGAAATTCCCTCAACAACCAATTACGATTCTTGAAAAACTTATTCTTATGAATCTTGTAAAATGTGTCCCAGTATTTACTAGCTTCACTTTCATACTTAACTAAAAGAAAGAGAAAAAAAAAATACTTTACTATGAATTGTATTTACTATTAGGTACTATCTTCATAAGATTTAATTAAATATTTTAAAATACATAAATATATTATCAACAATTGTACTTAATACTTAGTAACTTTATTATTATTATAGTAATTTCATTTATCTGTTAAAAGATTTTAATTCCTTTCAAAATGTCTCTGCTTCCCAATGTGCACACTGTAATCCCAGCACTTGGGAGGTTGAGACAAAAGTTTCACTGCAAGTTCCAGGTCAGCCTAGGCGACCTAGTGAGTTCAAGGCCAGCCTGAGCTACCTGGTCTCAAAAAAAAAAAAAATTATATGTGGGTTTTGAGGTTCTATATCCATAAATCTGCCTTTATCTTATAGTTTGGCCACTGTGAACTACTTTCTATAGTAGAATCTTGGAATCTTAGCAGTTATATTTTCCTCGAAAATTTGTGTGGCTTTTTATTATCTCACAGAAAGGATACATCATTTTATGTCTCTACAAATATAGTTGAAATATGACAAATGTGAAAATTGGTGAGATCAGAAAGCAAATTGTAGAATTAGAAATGTGCATTAGAGCTAGAAGGTTCATTGAAATAGTCTACTCCAAGCCCCTTCTTTTATATTTGAAGAACCTGTATTCACTTGTTCCCTGATCTTGAACCCCAATCACAAAGGAACCAGATGATATCTCCTGATTCCTGAAGCCAGGGTCACCTATAACTATTCTTCCCCAATTTCCAAAACGGTCTCTTCCTACTGACTTCTAATATGAAATCTTAGAGAATTACTAATGCTTTCTTAAAACAGATTGGTATTTTGTGATGTCATTCTAGGCAAGGCCAGTATTGGATTATTTGTCTCAAGGCTTCAGTCATTTCTTAGACTTCTGCCTCTTCCTATCTGTATTTACAATAATATAATAATATTGTGAATAAGCAATTCACTCTTCCCTCCATTCATCCAACACTTATTGACTCTTATTATGTAAAAGCCTAATCCCTAGGCCTACTCTACAGATTAAGAATTACTTTCATTCAGTGTAGAACCATGACATTTTGAAAGTACTTTCAAATATGCAGAAGCTTTTTAATGAATATAGAATAATTTCTAATATTTAATATTGGAAGGGGAAAGGAAAGGCATATATATTATGCAACAATTCATCAAGGAGAAGGAAAACATATGTGTCTGTGCACACACATAAACATACATGTGTATGTAAACCCGCCTTGTACAAAACATTTTTTATAGGATAATCTCATAAGCAACACTGGTTGTGTCTCAGGAGGGGGATGAAGCAGCTGAGGACCACAGTTTGAAAAAATGTTTTCATTTGAACTACGATCCATTTGAATTTACTACCATTTCCAAAACTAAAACCAAAAACAAAGAAGACTCATATTTTTGATAATTTTAAAGCCTCTACCCTCAGAACAAGTGGGTGTCTGCAGTCAGCTTCAACTTTGTTATAGAGCCCGGTCCTGAAGCCCTTACAGTTTTTCTTTTCTTCTTTCCATTTTCATCCTTATGCCTTGTATCATGACTCTCCACCTACATAGCCAAAAGACTTTCTTCCCATCAAGGCTGAATTGTCTCCAGCAGCAGGACTGCTATAAAGACAGAAACTCTCATTTGTATTTAAGGTCTGAGAAAAAAAAGAGAGTCTCTGTAACAAAAGAATTATGTGGCGGTAAGCCCAAAACATCTACTTCTCTTCTACACTGATGGAAGGATATCTAGTTACGGCTAATCTAAAAAATATACATTTATTTTGAAAATAGTGTTTATCCCTACTTTTAACAATTGGAATATACTTGATATACTATAAGAAAATAAAACAACATTCTGAAATTAGACTCAGTAGAAATCAGAAAGCTGCCTAATTTTCTAAGGGCCTTCTTTTTTTTTTTTTTTTAATCAGTACCAGAGATTGAACTCATGACTGCACCACCTGCAAGGCAGGCGCTTATGCCACTGAGCTAAATCCCGAGCCCACTAAGGGCCTTCTTGAACGGTCTTTTCTTCCTTTATCTTACAATCTCTCCTTGAAATTCACTCCAGGCAGGTAAAAGATTTTCTGCCTAAATAAAAAGCAGCCAGAAGACCCACAGTTAAAGCTAAGGAAACTTAATTTAGTCAAGTCTCTAGTATTTGGGTTTCCAATAATAAGCTATTCATGAAGTGAATTTGAGCCTACTAACTAGTAAGTAGAATACTCTACCTTGATTAATTTGTGGGTATGGCCCCCTAGCAATTAACTGGGGGTAGTGTAGGGAATGCAAACGAGTAACATGATTTAAAGTGTGAAGAGCTGGATGTGGTGGTAAATGCCTGTAATGCCAGCAAACAGGAGGCTGAGGCAGGAGAATCCCTGTGAGTTGAGGCCAACCTGGGCTATATAACAGGTTCAAGGCCAGCCTGAACTACTTAGTTAGTTCCTGTCTCAAGATACCAAAAAAATAGAAAAGAAACAAAGAAGGAAAATGTAGGAAATAATTCAAATGCCCAGTAACATGGAAATCGCAAGTAAACCATGTATGTTGAAACAAGGTAAACTTACACATCAATTTAAAAATAAAAGATAATAATAGTAAGAAAATACATTCACATAGTAATTAAAGATACTATGATACCTCTAAAATTTCTATTCCTTTATAAAAATCATTTTAAAAATTTGGAGAAATGGTAACAAATAATAATTATCAGGCAGCTCTTTCCTAGCTCTACGTCTTACACAAAAATAAAGAATCTTGGCTGAAATCTTCATTTTGCCTACAGAATTTCCTCATTTGATGAGACTGAATTAGAATTATCTCCACAGTCTGTTTAAGATCTTTTAACTTTTTATCGGTACCTGAGATTGAACTCATGACCGCCTGCTTGCAAGGCAGGTGCTTATGCCACTGAGCTAAATCCCCAGACCTACAGTCTGTTTAAGATCTAAAAATTCTGTGCATTTTTTGTTTTACATTCCATGAATCTATAAAGAATAAACAGTATCAGTTTTGCAAACTATACAATCTTGGGTCATATTTCTGCTTTAAACATGAGCCTGTACTACTGTTCTAATTTTCATAATTTAAAAAGAAAACTAATCATAGTCATTTAACTGCAATCTGGTTCAGATAACAAGTATTTCAAGTATCTAAATTCAACTCTAGCCTTTGCAATCTTTAACAAGGACTTGATTACATTTAGATAACAACAGTTAAGGTACACTAATGTATCTATGCTTTCAAGCTATTTTCTCAATTTTTTTTTTTTATTTTTGTACTGGGGATTGAACTCATGACCTTTGCACTTGCTAGGTAGGCATTTATGCCACTAAGCTAAATCCCCAGCTGCTATTTTCATGTAATTCTCGTTCAAAAACTAAGAGAAAAGAAACCAAACAATTACATAAGTCATGCCAATAACAGCATTAAAAATAACAACAATAATATATTGGATATTTATTATGTGTTAAGAATAACATTAAAAATAACAATAGTACTATTAGGTATTATGTTAAATGCTTGATTTAAATTTTTCCCCATTTAATGCTACTAATATTGCTTAGAAAACGCTACTTCAATTTATAAAGAAATTCAAGGTGAGAAGGGTTAAAGATTCCCCTACAGTAATCTAATTAAAAGAACAGAATCAGAACCCAGACCAAGTCTGTCACACCTAAAGCCTGTGCTCTCAACCATTACATGACTCCATCTTCTTGCACAAAGTTGATATGAACCCCTACTACAATCTCTCTGAAAATAATTTATTTTTCTGATTCTTACTTTCCTCTCAGTTATGAAGCATCAAGTTGAAATTGAAACCTCAATGTGGCATAATCAGTATAAGTAAACTGTAAAAACAATGTTGATTGGAGTTAACCTTCATTAGAATAGTTTGGAAACAAAGAATTAGTTAAATCCTGTTTTTTGCATTATATAAAACATAAACCATGCAAGCTTATGTGATGAAATTATGATGAGTGATAGAAGCATAAAATGCTCTATGAGAACATACGAGCTCGTGGGTCAGAACTGAAACAAGAGAAGCAGTTGCACCAATGTGCTAGAAGGTGGGGCCTTTTAAAGCTGTGGTTTCACCGGATCTCCAACCAAGGATTGTCATTCCCGGTACTGTGTGACTGCTTCTGAGACCCCTCAGAAGCTTAATCAAACTCGTAATGATGAACATGAAACAACAAACACCTTTGGCATATGATTTAATATCTTAAACTGCAAGAATATCTGTGTTAATAAGGGATTTCAGGAATTACTCTCTGATTTGAAGTGAAAAAAACCATCTTGACCTGTTGTTAACTCACAACAAGTTCAGGTCAGTAAAGAAGTATGTATAGCATGGAGAAATCTGTAATGTCTTGATCTTGTCTAACTGACTGCCTAACAGGTATATGAATCATTATTTTACCTTAAAGGAACATTTTTTTTCTTTCCAAAGTTGCCAATTCAGAAAGAACTGCTCTATGCCAAAGGCAGTAAAAGGGATGTAGTGATCTGTTTAACCATAGGCAAAAAGCAACTTCTCAATTATTCACTTATTAAATTCAATAATGCAGAGGGGAAGGAGCAAGACATACTGACTTTCTTAAATATTCAGCATTTACTCTGAATCACCCTGAGTATCATAACTAAAAAAGTGAATTAAACCATTTATGTATCTGGCATATATATGATTAATATGGATTACAAAAATTTATTCTAAGTTGCCATGTAACCAAAAGCAATTTGAAGTTATTTTTGCACATCAATTATGCAAATACCTGAGCTTTCTAAATTGGAAATTTTCACATGTCACTGATGAAGTTCACTCTCTAATAAAAGAAAACTCTTAAAATTACAACATAAAAGTATATTGTTGAAGCCACTGAATGAAATTTTTAACAGCCGAAGCTATCCTATAAATAAGTACCCTGTATTCATCAGCACAAAATCTTAATCTATTTTTTTCCACTCAGAACAGTAATAAGATATTCATTCATAAGGTGAAGTACAGTGAGACCTATTATTTTGGTTGACATAGATAATTTACTCTAGGTAGGCAGTTATTTACAAGAATATTTTAAAATGGAAATAGCAGCTGCTTTTGTTATTAAGTTTTAAAAACCCATTACATTTGCTACACAATTGACTGAGATATAACACACTAGAGATCTTTTTAGGAAATTATAAAATACAATCATGTTAACTCAAACACTGCCAAATGTATCTTTCTCATTTCTGAGTTAACCTGCTTTTAAAAGAAATATGAGCTATAATAAAATTGAAAAGTAATTACAAAAAGGAAATGTGGAATTAAAAATCATTAATGTGGGCAATCTAATTGAAAGAAACACTGCCGACAAGAGCTTGTATACCACATATTTTAATCACAGAAATGAGATGTCAGCCATGATGCACCAAAGGATGATTATCTGTGATATGTAGGTTCTCACTTTCAGATGCTGAGGGTATTTCCTGATTTGGTTCTCATCAATAGCTAAGACAACAGGTAAACAAAGGGAGAACAGTGACAGGATAGTGAACTATGCAGAGACCAAAAGCAGTGTACCAGAGAGGGCCAGCACAAGAGAACAACTAGTGTTTCCTCTCAGTGACGTTAATAGCCATAAGGCCAATAAACAGGGCTCCTGCTAAATAATGATCTGCATATGGAATACTCTGTGATGAGAGAAAAGTGGTTCTTTCAAAGACTTAGGACTCTCCTAGATAAGAGACTGTGTTTAACAGAGGTGCTGGCAGAAGAGCCAGGTCAAGACCTCCTTTGGGTTTTCACAAGGTGTAGAACCAGAGTTTTGAAGTGACCTATTCACCTTGCTCCATATTCATCAGAAGCCTCATTCCTGGCTTCTGCAGACTGGTAAGTCTATAATCTCTTGTAAAAACTGTACCAAGTGGCTCTCATTGTCGTGTCCTGCCCCTCAACACAATTCCTCAGAACATAAGTTTTCTTCCATTGCCATGCTGCTGGCAACCGTGTTTTAATTTAAGTGTGACAAGGTGGTCACTTCATAATGTATCCTCTCTCCTTGCAGGGGCCCTCTGACACACATGAAGTTCACTGTACTGAGCAGTGTTACAGGGATACAGAGGGGCCCCAGCAGAAACCTCTGCCTCTTTGAGTCATTTTGAAATCGAATCTTTTGTTCTGTGTCTTTACAGCAGCCAGAAATAATACTCAGAAAAAGACTAGACTTACTAGTAAGCAAATCAAATGCCTCAAAGTGGTACCATCAGCCCTCTCCTCCCTGCCTTTCCTGCTTCCACAGAGAGGCCAGTCACCACCTTTCTATTTTGGTCACACTATGGTTCTGCGGGAACTGTCATTCTCCTTTTCTGTGGTTTCCGAGGCCCTAAAATAACCTCATTAGCTTCACTCAAGTTCATTGTTAACATAAATAGGACAAAATAGGCAGTCATGTACAGAGCACTTTAAAAGAACATTATCAGTTCTGCTCATCTACAAGCATTTATTCTCTAAACACAAACATTCAAAAAAGGGTGAGAAAAATCCTTGGTTTTTCATATTATCAGAAATATACTATGGATAATTTTAACTTCCTGGAAATAAATTAAAATGGCTAATAACGTTTAATTCAGGTTAGGCTTTACTTTCTTTGTCACATTCAGGTGGCCACTAGCAGAACTTGAGTAATGTGGAAAATATGTCTGTGCAGTTGCTGGCAAAGAAGCAAAGTTATACTTCCTCAGAAATAATGTGACAGAGTTCTTGCAAAGGAATGTAATGTTGGCTGATTTGTAGGCAGTACCACCACTGGTATGCACCCTCAAATCCAACCCCAACAGTCTGGCCTTTTCCACTCTGGGACTGCATGGCTGGAGCCTGTAAAAATAGAATTTCCCACTGTAGATCTGGTGCTCTTCTCTCCTGTCCATCCCCCAGGACACATTAATGCTTAGGTTGTGGAAGGAGAACTACTCTAAGGAACAGCAAAAGATGTCACATGATAAGAGGTTATCGAAGTACCAGAGCGTGGGTGAGCATTGCTCCCTTCACCTGGTAAAGGCCACTGGTGATGGCTGTCTTACTACTTCAGTCTTCCCTAATGTCTCTGCTGCACACTTCAGTCTCTATTGTAGGACAGTGTCATCACAACAATGAACTTCTAGTGGATTAGTCATTTGCACTATGCTTCACTTACATAGAGGACAAATGCAAACATTTTTCCCTGGGAAGTGTCAGGATACCTCATCAATCTAGGAATAAACAAATACCAGTAAGTATTTTAGTTTTGTAGAACCACAGTCTGTTGCAACAGCTCGATTCCATGGCTTTGTCTGTGTTCCAATTAAACTTTATTTATAAAAACAGGCAGCAGGCTAGATTTGGCACAAGGCCTGTAGTTTACTGACTTCTGCTTTACTCACTGGTTACAGTGACATTGCTATAAGGAAAACAAAAAAAGAATAATGAACAGCACAAAGGTATTTTGACAAATTAATCCATGGCATTAAAAGCTGGACTAGAAGTTGAATTTTATAAGCTGTGAGGGGTCTGTGAAATATTGTAATTTGGAACAAGCATACGGAAGCTGCTAGGTTTTTGGTAATATTCTGTTTCTCCACGTGGGTGCTATTCACACAGATATATTCACTTTGTGAGAATTCACTGAATTTTTGTCGAGAATTCATTTTTGAACTGTATAAATTTCTCTCTCTGGTCCTTCAATAATTTGATTTTAAAAAAGAAAAAGAACCAATATGTTCTGAGCAAGAAGTTGCTTTAAGAAAAATACGGTTGGCCACAGATTTAGATTCAGTGGCTTAAGTGCTTGCCTGGTAACCATAAGGTCATAGATTCGATCCATGGCACCCCACCCCCGCCACCAAAAGAAAAAACAAAGGTGGTAAATCTCATATAGGCTTAGGAGCTGGCACAGTGCCTTTAGGTTCTTAGTCATGTACAAGGAAGCACATAGGGTGCTTTCTTTCTTTCTTTTGGGAGATGTATGTATGCTTTTTTTATATTGTAGCTAAAACACATAGTATAAAATTAAACATTTTAAGCATTTTTAAGCATATAGTCCAGTAGAAATTATTTACATTGTTGTAAAACAGGTCTAAAATGTTTCTACCTTGCAAAACTATTACTCTAAACCCATTAAATAACTCCCTTTCCCCCTACCCCTTAGGCTGTGGCAACCACTGTTCTGCGTTTCTATGAGTTTCACTATGTTAGCTATCACAGAAGTGCTGACATACGGTAGTACTATATGTGTGTGTGTGATTGTCTTATTTCACTTATGATGTCCTCATCCATGTTCTAATATGTAATGGAATTTTTTTCCTTTTTAGGTGGAATAATATTCCATTTTGTGTATATATCACATTTTATTTATCCATTTAGTGATAGACATTTGGATTGCTTCTTTTGCTTATCATGAATAGTGCTGTTATGAACATGGAAATACAATTATATCTTTGCAATCTTGCTGTCAACTTTTTGGATATAACCCAGAAGTATAAAGTTCGATCATATGGAAGTTCTAATTTTAAATTTTTGAGGAATCCCTGTATTGTTTTCCACAGTGGCCATACCATTTTACAGTCTTACCAAGACTGTACAAGGGCTTACTCCTATGTCTCTATATCCTGTCAACATTTCCATTTTCTGGTTTTTTGACAGTAGCACAGGCCAATTTTTTCAAAGTAATTTGGCAAGGTCTTACCTAAATCAAAGTATAAGTAAAAGGTCTCTAAGGAAAGTACTTTCAATCCTTATTAAAACTTTATCCTAAAAACCCAGCAACATATTACATGATGTTATCTTTTTTATTCAAAGTTTATGAATTTGCTCAAAGTTTCTAGCAAGTGAAATATACAATAGCATACTAAAAGCAGTATAGCAAGAGGAAAATTTTAAAGCTACATTTTCATATCTTGCTCAAAATGCCACCCATATGTGAAACTCCCAGAAAAAGCATTATGACTACCAAAAGACCAATTATAGGGTGAATACATAATTTATTTCATTAATTTTGGTCCCACTATACCAGAAGAACTGGGAATTCTACCAAAGGGAATGAGTGGATTGATTGGTTTAGATGAAAGCTAAGAACTCTCAAAAGCAATGATACAGGAGAAGCAATGATGATGAAGGTGTGAAGGGAAGACCAAATAGAGAAGCTGGGCTCCAGGAGCCACAGATCACTGGTTACCTTGCTCTTCCTGAATGACTCGCACAGCTGAGTTTTCCTCTACTTTTTTTCTGGCAGCTGCTGTTTCTTCTTTAGACCACTGCAAGTGATCCCTGTTTTTTATATACAAACAAACAAACGAACATTGTAAATCATGCCTTATAATTGAAGAAGGGAACAAAAACAAAAAAATAATGGCCAGGCACTAGATTTTATCCTAGATTAGTCAAATGCAACTGACTTGATTCTTTTTTTTTTGGTACCAGGGATTGAACTCATGACCTCAAGTTTGCCAGGCAGGCGCTTATATCACTGAGCTAAATCTCCAGTCTCTGTCAAATGCAACTGATACAAAATAACAAGATGTTAAGTGACTAGTTCTGTGTCTTATGTCTTCCTGCAGGTATTGGTACAACCCTCCATCTCCTACAGCTCTTCTGTTTAACTCTGGTTGTGCTGCAAGTCCCAGCTACCTTTGGGAACGGCTGCTGAAATAATATCCCCAGAATACTCTAATCTCTGATTCTCTGGATATGGTATGGTTTGTTGTTTTTACTCTACTTTAAATTTACTTACCCTTTAGTTCATTTATGAATAGGACATTCTTTAACACTATTTTAATACTCTTTTTATAAAACTTTATTTGAATATTCTGCTGTCAGAAACATGCAAGTTTTCAAATATTAGGTACTTACACCTCAATTTTAATTCTTAAAGTAACTTTAGATTTATTTTTATTACCTACTTTAATTTCTGAAAAGAGGTTTGCTTACATGTAAATGATAGAGTACATGATATAACATATAAAAAGATGACTTTTCTACAATGTGGCACTTTCTATGAGTATTTTTAGTTTTAGAATTTATCTTCTCTATTTGAGCATAAACTGCTGCAACAATGTCTTGTTGTCTAGCATTTGCAGGTCCCTGGATTCAGTTCCTTGGCTGAAAAAAATTCTTCTTACGATAGAGGCAATACTTATATACAAAAAAGGTGATTTTTCTTTTTAATTTTGCTTTTACATTTTCTTTCCTGTACTAGGTTAGACTATATATGAGTAAAGCAATATTCTGAATTTTCTGAATTTCCATTTTTTGAAACAAACAAAAAAAGAAACAAATCCCAAACACTCTACATTCAAGTTCCAGAAAGTCTATTGGTAATTATAAGAAACATCTTAACACTATTATTGTATGATATTTATAGTTATCTGACAGAGAATAGATTAGTTATAAAATTCTTGGATTTTTTTATGTCAGTCATGGCGACTGAACATTAACTGAGCAGTTAGCATGATAATTACTACCATTTATTATTTATAACATGTCAAACATTGTACTAAGCACGTTGCATATATATTTGTTTTATTTAATCCTTTCAAAAATCTTGTGCAGGGGTTATAATCATGCTTATTTTATATACAAGGAAACAAGTTTAGTAGCTCAGTCAAGATCCTACAGCTGAAAGTGGCAGAAGCAGAATTCAAACTCGGATTTATGTCTCATCAGAGTCTCCTCAGTCATTCATCTATTACTGCCTACCAATGCAGCAGGGGATACTGTAGATTTAAGACTTACTTTTTGTCCATCAAAGGCATATATTCTTCTAATGCAGACAGATAAACAGAAAGTAAATGATAAAACAATGGAGCATGCAATGTTAGGACCCACTACCTGGGGCAAAAAAGAAAGGGGAAGATGAGTTTAGCTAAGGTTGGGGAAAGGTGGTGGGGCAATGACAGCTGTCATTGAGAAACTGGCAACTGGGCCTGGGGATTTAGCTCAGCGGCATAAGCGCCTGCCTTGCAAGTGTGTGGCTGTGAGTTCAATCCCCGGTACTGATAAAAAAGAAAAAGACAAAAAAACAAAAACAAAAACAAAAAAACCTCTGGCAATTAAGACAGCATATACAGGAAACAATGAAAAAAAATCTATTTTAAAATTGACTATTTTGGGGAACTGCAGATGAAGTTGAGATGTAGGTAATAGATTTCAGAGTATTTTAAACAGTTTAAAAGACACGACTAAGCAAGGAGAGACCAGAGGGAAAGGATTAGACTGCTCTGTAGTCTAGGGGTAAAGACTCAGTCACAGCATCAAGGTGGTGATAATAGAAAACAGAAAGAAACAGTTGAGGAAGTCACTGAAAAAACTGTAGTGTTGACTGGGAAATAACTAGATATTGGAAAAGAAAGTGAGAACTGAAAATGATTCCAAGGTCTTATCATTGAGTATCAAGGAAAGTGGGGGTAACAAAGGCAAAGTAAAGAAGCCTCTTCAGGTGGAATGATGAGAACTTCATTCTATTTTAAGTTATGTTTATGCAATCAAATATAAGAGGGTATATTCCAGTGACCCAGCTATAAATACACTACTGAAACATGAGAAACTTTTCTCTTTAAAAGGATCAAGACCGATATACTAAATCTCTAGGAAAAGCAAATGGAGAATGTAAAAGGCAGAGTTCCACAGATAAAAATTAAACCAGTAGCAACTTTTAAAAACCACTCACTTACAGCCCAAATGAACAGCTTTGTCACTTGCTTAGTGAACTAAATTAGAGCAAAGTTTTGTTTTGACTTATTTGTGTACACATGATAGAAAATCAAGTTTGTGGAGCAATGAGCGTATATGTGGCCTTCAGCTTCAAACAGTTTTTTTTAAATTGTTACTTTAACTTACCTCTTCATAAGGATTTAACAGATTTGGCTATTTCTTAAAATGCTCTAACTTCCTTAAACTATTTATTACTTCATTTTCTTAACTGAGAAGTGCAGGCAACATTATACTCTAAGCTCCTGCAGAACAGATTTTCCCACTCTGCAGTTACAGAATCCCCACAGAAACCTATAAAATGTTCCCACTGTATTTATGGGAACTTCCTCCAGACCCGCTGTTGTATGGCAGTTCTTTACATTAGAAAAGTCTGATTCTTATACCAAAACCCAATGGCCAGCAATAAGAATTATTCAAGTTTTTATAAGTAATAAGTACAATAATAGAATTTAAGCACAGAGGCAACAAACTAATAAGCAAACTGAAAATAATCAAGCATTTAACAAAATAAAACCCAAAGGAAAAAATGATTCATACTGTTTGGCCTATGAATTGTAATTCTTGGAATCTACTGAAAAAAAGTAACTCAATGGAATAAAGTGCTGTACAGAAAAATATTGGTATAATGATATTCACTAGGACACTAAATATAATGACAAAAAGTTGGAAATAAACTCAGTTATAGGGTAATGAAAACATTATGGTAACTCAAAGGAATACTATGCAGACATTTAAAGTAGTCAGTATGACCACTATGCAATAATGTGAAAAAGTGTTTATAAAATAATCTGAGGTTATACACATATAGCCACTTCTTACAAGGAATGTACAGTATATACTACACACATGTACTAATAAACTAAAATAAGAAGTAACAAGATTTAAAAAGCAGATAGCAAAACTGTATATATTATAGTTGTTTAATATTATATACACTGAATAAAGACTAAATGGTGAAATGATTAAAATAGTGAGATTAAGCGAGAACTGCCTTCAAATTTCCTTAATTCTATAATGCTGCTTCAACTATAATTTTTTAAAAAAATATTTATATAAAAAGTATACCTTAAAACATATAAAAGGGTTTATTAAAAGAAAGAAGGAGATTAAGATAAAAGAGGACATAACAACATAATAACACAGGGCAGAATAGAACAATTTAAGCAACATAGTGTTTTACCACAAGATAACCTGATATAACAGTAGCTACCATAGTGTCCCTTTCCTTGAAATATTTGAGTATAACTTTGTATATTATAGCATCAAACACAATATGACAGTATAAAACCATTCAAGAGAATGAAAGTATTACAGCGTATTTAGAACCAACTAACAGAAAATAAACAATGGTTTCTATATTATCTCCTTGTGTACAAAACATTTTGTTAATACTATCACATATAATAAAATCCAATAAGATACAACATGATAAACCGATGGAGACAGAAGAACAAAAGCTTCATGGGACTTAAAAACAAGATGGTATTAAATCAGCAGTAGCTATTATATTGTCTTGTTTTCTTCAAAGTAACTGTTCATACCATCACAGACAATAAAATCAAACAACCCAGAATAAAAACATTCCAATTAATGAATGAAAACATTATAAGGCTTCAAAGCAATATAATGGGGAATCATGTTTACCACATACTTTTATGTATTCTTACTATTTCTTACACTAGGGAAACTATTCGGTATTTATACATGTAAGTTTAATTTATTTCGCTTATGAGGATGGCCTCAAGCTGCGCCCACTTATTTATAAATATCTCAGTGTGATCCTTCTTTATAGCTCAGTAGTACTCCATTGTATAAAAACACCACAAATTTTTTATCCATTTCTCAGTTGATGGACACTTAGGTTGTTTCCAAGATCTGGCTATTATAAATTGTGCTGCTATAAACATAGGTGCACATATATCACTGTGGTATGACGTTTTCAGTTTTTCTGGGAATATGCCTACAAATGGAATAGCTGGAACAAATGGGACTTCCAATCCCAGCTTTTTGAGACATTTCCAGACTGACCACAATGGTTGTACTAGTCTACACTCCCACCAATAGTGCAGGAGAGTTCCTTTTTCCCCACAGCCTCTCCAGCATTTGTTGTTGGTAGTTTTCTTGATCTTGGCCATTCTTTCAAGAGTGAGATGGAATCTCAGTGTGGTTTTAATTTGCATTTCTCTAATGAGTAATGATGATGAACATTTTTTCATGTATTTATTTGCCATTTGTATTTCTTCATCTGAGAATTGTTGTATTCATCTCAGATCCCCATTTTTGGATTGAATTTTTGAATTTTGGGGGTCTGATTTTTTTTAATTCTTTATATGTTTTAGATAGAAGTCCTTGAGGGACAGTTCACTAAGAATTTTTCCCAGCTTTGGGGGCTGGGGATTTAGCTCAGCGGCATAAGCGCCTGCCTTGCAAGCAGGCAGTCGTGAGTTCGATCCCTGGTACGGATAAAAATGAAAAAGACAAAAAAAAAAAAATATTAAGGTGGTTGAGTTGGTTGAGTGTGTTTGTAGTTGTGGTTGTATCTTCTAATCTATTCCATTGATCTTCGGCTCTGTTTTGATTCCAGTACCATGTTGATTTTACTACAGTTGCTTTGTAGTATAACTTCAAGTCAGGGATTGTGATGCTTCCTGCCTTGCCTTTGCTGCTTAGAACTATCTTTGCTATTCTAGGTCTCTTCTGGTTTGAGATGAATTTGAGGCGTGATTTCTCTAGATCCATGAAGTATGTCGATGATATTTTTATTGGGATTGCATTGAGTCTGTATAGCAGTTTTGGGAGAACAGCCATTTTCACCATATTTAAGTGTTCATTATTTTTAAGAGAATAAAACCAAACTAAAACAGAACAAAGCCAATTAAAAACAAAACAGTAAACAGCACAGAGGACTTCAAAACAAGATAACAGGAAACCAACAATGGCTACCATAATATATCTTGTAACCTTTGAAATAGGTGTCTGTGTAATCAGATATAATAGAATCAAACCAAATAAAAACCAATGAAAACAATACAGGACTTTAAAACAAAATAATAGGGAATTACCAGGGGCTACCACCTTCCCCTTTTAGATGTTTCCTACCTTTTCACTTTCACAATATCTATTGTACATTTTGTATCCCACTAACTCTTTCAGTTTTTGATACTAGGGAGACATGATGTTCACCTATGTGAGTCTGAACCATTTCATCCAAGAGCATGATCTCAAGTTGCATCCATTTACCTACAAAAGCCTCATGATTATCCTTCTTTATAGGTGAGTAGCTTTAAACTGTGTACAAATGCCATGTCTTTCTTATCCAGTCTGTAGTTGATGGGAAAGCTATCCCTGCTTTTTCTGGTTCCCTGTCATGGAGCATTGTTTTCTCTCCCTTGACTTTCAGTCTATGAATTTCCTTTCCTAATGTGTTTCTTGTATATCACATATTAATG